TTGGCACATAAGGCTTCTTTTGTACTGGATCTACAGCAGTAGCAACAGCAGGTTTCTCAATAGCCTTTTCAACAGTCTTTGCAGAAGGCCTCTTTCTTTTCTTGTTCTTGCCCTTCTCAGCTGAAGAAACAAAATGAGCACTCTCTCTTTTGTTAGAATTCATCTTTTCCTCCTCATCAACACAATGAGAAATGAGCTCGTTAAGAGTCCATTGTTATTTCGGCTGACAATTATAGAAGTCCTAATTTGTCCATACTACTGAGAAGGAAGAGAATTCATAACCAAAATTGGACTAAAAGGTCAAAATCTGGTAAGAGCCATCCCAGTGCTTCAGTCTCTTTGCATCTGAGACATGCTAAGAATAAATGCTCCGCGACACCAAACAGTTGCCCAGCAACTTCAATGGAGGTTAATTTCCCCCCTAAAAGTGTTCCCACTTTGGCTTTTGTCATTCTTGACCACATTCGGCTTTGTCATTCTTGACATAAGCCCTCTCCAGCTCGGCAAGATAGTTTTGAGCATTGTTCTTTTCAGCTGAGACAGAGTCTCGAACATGTTCTGGTACTCCTTTCTGCATGATCATCAGACCTAAGCGATTAGAACGCTCCCGCTTCTCATACTGAACCCTTTGAACATCAGTGCTCGTAGCAGTAAGAGGAGCAGGTTCGTCCATCCTCAATGCAAGATCCAAATCCATACAGCCCACAAAAATCATAATGTCTGATTTCCAAGACTCAAAATTTGATCCCTCAAGTTTAGGGACACAATCAGGATTAAATGACATGTTAGCTGACAGCAGAGAAAATAAACGAATAGATAAGTATAAGCTCACAATTCACAAATGAAACAATTCACATAAGTAGAGATCAAAAATGGAAATAAGATACAGACACAACATTAATATTCTCACATTAATATTCTCATCTTTGGATGTAAAATATTCACTTGTAATTAGTATCTCAACGCAGCAATCAAATATTGATAACATAGTCCTGACAAATAATAAATCTTCCTTTGGACCGATATATCATTGTCATGGAAAATAATCAAACAATTATCACATACTTATTGCATTTTATTGCCAAACAGTGTATTCAAAACTAGCAGAGTAGCAACCTTTCCTTGTGGGCCGGATTAACCTATCCGCAAGCGAATTCTTAGATACAACCTGTTCTAATATTCTAAAAATAAAGTCAAGTTCAAGCATAAGTAGAGGTGCACTTTGGGTGACTTATTGATCAAATCAATTTATTTTAACAAATATTAAACACAATAGGGACTTAATCACTCCAAAATTTAATCTCAAGTCGACAAATTAATTCATTTAATTGTAATTAAAGCAAAACAATTGCAATTAAAGGAATTGATTGTCTAAATATTTAATAATCTAAAATTATTTAGCCCTAAAAAATAAAAAAAAATTATAATCTAGTCTTTAAGTCACTAAATTAGAGACTAAGTTATAAAATTGGACTAAATAAATTTGAATAAATAAAGTTCGGGGTTCTAATATAATTAAATATATGTCCACGGGTCTAGACGAAAAAAAACCAGTGGGTCCCATGAAGAAAAAAAACAGAAAAGTTAGGGGCCTTAAACGAAAAATAGAAAATTAGGGGCCTAATCGTGAAGATTTTTCCAGGGACCCTGAACCGTATTTTCCAATCCCTAACCTTAAAAACGCGAAAACGATCAGAGAGACGAAAACAACAGGACCGCCGCCAAACTCTCCTCCACCTGCCGTTCCATGACCCTTTTTTCCGGCCGCCAACGACCACCAAGTTTCCAACCGAAGACAAGCTCGCAAGTCGCCATTGGACGGTGACGGCAAGCCAAGGGAGTCAAACCGGTGTTGGAAATCAACAAATCCCTGGGTGGCGACTCAAAATTGTTTATAAGACCGATTTATCGGCATCGCATCCAAATAAAAACATTTTATCAAAAACCACAAAAAGGATGTTTTCGGGTCCTCCGGGGGGATTTTCGGCGAAAACACCAGCAAAAAAACCAAAATACCAAACGAACAATTAATCGTTAATGGCGTTAGTTCAAAACCTCTTACCTGTTCTTCGGATTCCCCAAGAGCAGTGAGAATAAAAAAAAATTTTTTTTTTTTATTAAACAAAACCCTCAATCCGAAAACAGTAGGAAAAAAAAAGCATACGAAAATCAATCTAAAATCTAGCAATTATGAACTAGGCTCTGATACCACTTGTTAAGAATTAATCTCAAATAATTCCATAATAACCCAGATCATGTATGCAAGAACTACTGAAAGAATTCAACGGAAAATAGATTGAATAAAAAAAAGGTTGTGTACCTGACTATCGTTGTTGGTCGATCTTGATGTGTAGAATTAGGGTTTGCAGCCTTCCAAAGAAGATTGAGAGAATCGATTTAGCGGAAGCAGGTACGAAGGAACGTAAAGAACGTGAATCGTATTCAGCTCCGTCTGGGGACCCCACGGACCTTATATTGTAGCGTTAGTAGCAATTCCTATTCGGTCCTTTAAGCAAGAGTAGAAATTATATAATGGCCTTTTACACTTAATATCTATTAATCAGTTGATCCTTCAATAGTCAATTATGTCACGAATCAAGACCACATTTTGAAATTGAGACTGTTAACAATTAGACTGTTGTACGTATTTTTTTACATATTAAGGCCACAAATAGAAATTAAATCCCGAAGGACAGGAACTGCTCACATTTTTGTGCTCAAATAGAATACGCAGAGTGGCCTTGGAGATTTATAGGTAGTTGAAGTTGGAAGAACTACCTTTTTGATAAAATTTTGAGCCGCAAAAGTTCAAACTCAATAAAACCATTATAACCAATGCCATATTATCTTTTGAAGAAGTCCTTTGGATTCCTTAACAAGGACATCTAGGGTTTTGATTTCCTTTTTGTGGAAAATAATGGTCTTTACACTTAATATCTATAATCAGTTGATACCTCAATAGTCAATTATTCACAATCAAGACCACATTTGAAATTAACTTTACAATTAGACTGTTGTACGTATTTATTTTACATATTAAGCCCACAATAGAAAATTAAATCCAACAGGAACTGCACATTTTGTGCTCAAATAGAATACGCAAGTGCTTGGAGATCTTATAGGTAGTGAAGTTGAAGAACTACCTTTGATAAAATTTTGACCAAAATTATAACTCATAAAACCATTATAACCAATGCCATATTTATCTTTTGAAGATCTTTGATTCCTTAACAAGACATCTAGGGTTTTATTTCCTTTTGTGAAATTTGCCAAATCATTTTTCAAGGCGTCAATTTCCTTTTTCAAGGCGTCAATTTCCTTTTTCAAAGATTCATTTTCAAAAGTAAGCTTGTTGCAATTTTCTTTTGAATCATCCAATTTTAATTTTTGATCCAAGTTTTAACACTAGCATACAAACTCAGTATGCATTCTTTACCTTCTTTAAAAGCTTCAATTTCTTATAAGAGATTTTTGCAAGTAATCTCTTTGAAAAAGGCGTCTCTTAAAAGATCACATTTAAGTTTAAGCTTTTTGAAATCTTTCCTTACACAATTATATGTTTTGCAAGTATCTTTAAAATCTAAGTAAAATTCCTTAGAATCATTTTCAAGTTCATTATAGCTCATAAGTGTAGAATCACTTACATCACTTCCATTTGCTTTACTAAATTTAGCTTTAGCAGGTGAAATTAGCTTACCAATTTCGTCTGATTCTTGATCACTTACAACCATCAAGCAAATGTTTGCCACTTCAGCTCCTTCATCACTGGAATTTGAGTCATCACTGTCACTCCAGGTTGCAATCATAACTTGCTTTGGTTTGTGCTTTTAAATTTCTTCTTAAGCTTTAGACAATTTGGTTTGATATATCTAGGTTTGCCATATTCAAAGCGTATAACTTCAGTTGGATCTTTCTTTTTTTGATTTTTTTATCTTCGGTGGAAGTGTTTTCTTGTCAAATTTCTTGTATCTTGTTCCACCTTTCTTTAGCATCCTTTTGAATTTTCTGGCCATGAGTACCATGTCATCACTATTAGCATCACTTGAACTTTCATCATTTGTGACAATTTTAAGGGCTAGAACTTTCTTCCTTTTGTTTTTAACTTTCTCAACATTTCTATTCATCATCATTTCATGTATGAGAAGTGAGCCGATCAACTCATCATAGGTGAGCTTTTTGAAATCCTTTACTTCAAACAAGAGGGTTACTTTTGATTCCCATCTATCCGGTAGAGATGGAAGAATTTTCTTTGTGAGCTCTTATTCTGAGATGGATTTGCCAAGTACCTTCAAAGAATTAACAATGTTAATAAATCTAGTATTCATATCAGTAATGGTTTCATCATTTTTCATGTAGAACATTTCATAATCTCTCCACAATAGATTTATCTTTAATTCCTTGACTTGGTTAGTTCCCTCTTATGTGACTTGTAGCTTTTCCCATATTTTCTTAGCTGAGGCACAACCTGAAACTTTATTATATTCATTAACATCTAAAGAACAATGTAAGATATTGGTAGCTTTAGCATGTAAGGTAATACTTTTCCAATCGTTGTCCATGTTTTCCTCTTTAAGCTTATCAATGGTAACACCATCAACAACTTTCTTAGGAATTTGAGGACCATTTAAAATATTTCTGCAACAATCAATATCAACAGATTGCACAAAATTTCTCATCTTAGTTTTTCAATAAGAATAATTTTTACCATTAAACAAAGGAGGTCTAGTGATAGACTGACCTTCAGAAGGTCCAACTATACCAAGGGTAGACAACGAAGCCATGGGATCTCTCAAAGGTGGTTAAACCTTATAAATTAAGAGCCAATGCTCTGATACCAGATTGTAAGCCCCGATAGGCTATACACAAGAGGAGGGTGAATTGTGATTTATAAAAAATTTAGAGTTTAAATACCTTTTTCAAACACAGCAGAAACACAATAGTATTCAGATAATTTTGTAGATTTAAAATCATATAACTCACTTAAGTAAAAAGATTATCTATAATACTATCAATCAATAGGTCTAAAAATAACTCACTAAATTGGGCAACTCTGTAACTCAAAAACAGTTTTAGTATGAAGCAATATTAATTATAAAGATTCAACAACTCAGAACGTAGAATGACTGTATAATCAAGATAACAACATATCATTTAGATTAAAGTCTTGACTTTCATAAGATTTATTGAATCTTCACTCGATGAATTTCTCCATTTAAATTCCTGCAAAAGACTTTAGCACAACCTACAAATAAATAATTCAATTATTATTTTTGTTTATCATCAAAATAGAGTATTGTAATAACCTTGAGCCAACAAAAATAGAAGCCAAAACATACATGCCAAATGCTTTAAATTTTTGATATATCGGTAGATTTGTTAATCTGGTATTTGCAGGAATTAAAATGTCATTATTGAAAAATAATAACAAATAACTACACACATAAAAGACATCTATCTTACACTTGATCAAGAAACAGAAAAAGAAAAAGACGAGAAATTCTAAGCAACTTGATTCTAAAATCAAATTTTAACAAATAGAAAATGAAGCATCAATCACAGAAACTAATTGACAACACTACAAATCCTCCTTACTTGTCTAGCTCTTCTAATAGGAGGTTTAATATTTCATCGCTGCCAACAACAGGACGAGGATTCACTTGCTTTCTTTGGTTGTTGAAGCTAAATATTTAAGGTTTTCTCTTCTTTTTTTTAATAAAGAAAGTTTTCTCTATTAGATGAAATGTTTTCTGCATTTAAATATCTATAAGAACAAAAAGCTGCAGGGAAAGAGTGTAAATAAAGATTAAAGAACAATGAATTGCACATATTGAAAAGAAAAGAATGAGAAACAACTGTATAATTACTGAAAGAATACAAAAAAGAAAAAAGAAAAAAAAGCACTATATTATAATCTTAAATTCTTTAACTAAGAACACCACTGTCATATCAAGATCAAAAGGTTAACAAGATTGTGCAGACCTAACAATCCATCTATATCTGAGTCCATTTTTGCCTCTTTAATCATAAACAACTTCCCTCCTATAAAATTACATGACCCCTTGATATTTTTTAAGATATATATCAATATCACTGATAAATTAAATATAAATTATTAAGGAGAAAATTAATTAATATTATATATACTTACACATGCAGATGCATCTCTTGCAACTACAGCCAGAATATCAGCAAAAGAAACAACACTAGGACAAATTCTACTTCAGATTTTGCTTTGTCAATAACTTTATAGCCTCTTGCACACTGAAAATTTTGAAACACGGTATTTCACTCTCCATAGTTGGGGTTTCCTCAAGTAATTTCGAAGTGTAGCCTCACATGTAATATTCAATAACAACAACATAAATATGAAATATGCTGCTTTGATGGAGATGAATGTACCATCAATTCTTATAATAATAGCATATAGCATTCTAGTGAACAAATTTTAAAGTAAAAGGCAAAAACTCAAATAGAACATATACATGTATAACTCTACTTGTGCATTTGAATTATAAATGACTTTCAACCAACACATCAAAAAAAGAACATTGAAAGGCATGTATGTTGTTATTGTCAATCAAAAGAACACAAAAAAGAATTGTTTGGTCAGATTGACACTAAAAAAGTCCTACAAAAAAGCTTTAGAAAAGCATATAAGTCCATCGTTATGGCCGCCACACTGGCCTTTGAAGGGGAAGATTATGCCTTATGTTGCCTTGCTTCATAAACTGCAGATTGGGTTCTCCAACTGCTACATGAGCATGAGTAACAGGCAGCAGATGTCTTTTTCTGGATTTGTAAACTTTGGCTTTTAAATACAAGTTAATGTTTTTTTCTCATGCCAATCTATGAGAATTAAATTATTTGCATTCACAGAATTGTGACAGTTATAAATATCTTACCATATGTTTAGGTGGCTGAATACATCATTTCCCCGTCGGCTCCTTTACTTTCAAATTGATCTTTGGCACCCTAAAAGTGAACTTTGGCACCCTAAAGTTTACTTTTTATAACAACTGTACACCTGGTAAAGTGATTGTGTACAACCCATCCTGATGACATGGAAAATTACAATTCTAGGTCATAATTAATTTTGCCACGTTGGATATGCAACAAAAAATTCATGAATCAATCCAAATCAAACCTAAATCGAACCAAATCAGCAACTAACCCAAAATCACTTCTCCCCTTCCTGATCGCACCATAGTCCCCTCTCCTATCCCCTTCGTTTTTCGTTCACCGGAGCTCAAAGCTCTGCCGATCTGATCACCTCACACCACCGGCAGCACCTCTAGCCACCGCTTTCTACCTTCATTCTTGTTCAAGGAGAGCTCATGAGAGAGACAAAGGGACTTGTCGATCGAGACAACCCTCTTTCTCCTTTCTTTTGGCATGTCTAGTGACCTGAGCTCAAGTCGCCCCGACCAAAGCTTCTTATCGTCATTCCTCCACCGATCACTCCATCTCCGGTCCCTCTCTTTCTATTCCGGTGAGCGCAGTAAAGAGCAAATCACAGTCTCACAGTCTCTCTCTTTCTCTTTCAGCGCTACTTTTCTGCTTCTTTGGCAAGGCCAGCCACAAGCCGGCGAGACCAGTCAAGGGTCCGCCAATTACACCTTCCCACCGTCCCTAATAACTTCACTGGGGACCGCTCTCATCAACTCCGGCTACCACAGTGAGATGAGATTGGTTTAGTTTGGGAATAACCCAAATTCAGCATGAATTTGCAGGAAGAAAATAGGATGAGAGAGAAAAAATAAGTTTAATAATATTCTAATTAAGTTAGTAATAAAAAAATTATTTTTTTCATTATTTAAAATGCAATCTAGGAATATTTTTACAAGTTCACACGTGGGAAAAAAAATTAAATTTTCACGGGTTGCTGACTCGATTAATAAGGATGTGATGTAAACAATTTTACAATTTTAGAATGCCACAAAGTCACTTTGAAAGTAGAGGAGACTACAAGACTTTTTTTGCGTAAGTTTAGGAGATAAACCATGTATGCGGCCATGTTTAGGTCTAAGCATGACCACGCAGTTTTGGTTATAAAAAAGGTGAAATCGGAACCGAACCGCTTTTAAACGGTTTTTGAACCATCAGTTTCGATTTTTTTTTATTTTGAACCGAAATTAAATAATGTATTTTAAATTTTTTAAAATGTTTTTTTAAGATTTATAGAATAAATAATAATAATAATAAATATTACTCTTGAAAAAAACTAAATCAATTTAATAAAAATTCTTAAAAATTACTGAAAAAAACAATAACAAAACAAAAAACAAGTTGGAGTTTTTAAAACATATTTTCTACGGTTTCAAATTGAAATCGCCGAATTTAAACCAAAACTGCCGATTTCGATTTTAAAAAATGAAAAATCGGAACTAAATTTTAAATTTACAGTTTTAATTACGATTTTAAATCCGAGACAATTAATCATGATTTAATGTCGATTTTAACCGATTCAGTTTCAATTCGATTTTGATTTAAAACCAAACTGCAGTAATCCCTATTTAGGTCCATACAAAATTGAAAACAAAAGAATTATTTAAAATGAAGTATAACTCATTTTTTATTCCTTTTAAAAATAGAGCACGTGTTAGTTTGATTATAACTGATCCTCGGCACTAATTATTATTTCCCTAAAATTTATGTTAGGATTTTATCTGCAATTGCTCTATCCATTTGCTTCTCTCGCAACCAATATCCAATGGTTGGAGTGATACCAAATCCTTCCCACCATTTCTATCTTCTTCAAACCTCAAAAACCCACAAAGAAACCCAACAACTCCACGCCCTATCCCTCAAAACCAACACTTTCGCTCACCCATCAATCTCCTCTCGCATCCTCTCTCTTTATGCTGACCCGAAAGTCAACAATCTTGAATATGCTATTTCTATTTTCTCTAAAATCCAACAACCCACTTTGGTTCTCTTTAATATAATTATTAAGTGCTACATTGAAAACCAATTATCTCATGATGCCATTTCTCTTTTTTCTGAATTGATTCATGATTTTAAACCTGATTGTTTTACTCTGCCTTGTGTGATTAAGGGTTGTGCAAGGTTACATGCAATTAAAGAAGGGAAACAGATTCATGGGTTGGTTTTGAAACTTGGGTTTGGTTTTGATAAGTTTGTACTGAGTAGTTTGGTTAATATGTATGCAAAATGTGAAGAGATTGATAGTGCAGAGAAAGTTTTTGTTTCAATGGATTATAAAGATTTAGTGTCATGGAATTCTTTGCTTGATGGTTATGTTAAATGTGGTCAAGTTGAGTTAGCAATGAAGTTGTTTGAAGAAATGCCTGAAAGGGATTTGTTTTCTTGGACTGTCTTGATTGATGGGTTTTCCAAGAGTGGAAAAGTTGATGTTGCTAGGGAGTTATTTGATATGATGCCTGATAGGAATTTGGTTTCTTGGAATGCCATGATCAATGGGTACATGAAATCAGGGTGCTTTGTGTTGGCCTCTGAATTGTTTAATAGGATGCCTAAGAAAAATTTGATCTCGTGGAATTCAATGATTGCTGGTTATGATTTGAACGGGAGGTATAGGGAAGCTTTGCAGTTGTTTGTACATATGTTGGAAGGGGATTCTATGCCTAGTCATGCTACATTAGTGAGTGTTTTTTCTGCAGTTTCTGGAGTGGCTAGTCTTAGTAAAGGAAAATGGATACATTCATTCATGGTTAAAAATGGTTTTGAATTAGATGGTGTTCTTGCTACATCATTGATAGATATGTATTCCAAGTGTGGGAGCATTGAGAGTGCTCTAACTGTTTTTCAGTTGATACGAAGGAAGAAGTTAGGGCATTGGACTGCTATACTAGTTGGCTTAGGAATGCATGGCATGGCTGAAGATGCTCAAGAATTATTTAATGAAATGCGCAGGATTGGAATGAAGCCTCATGCTATAATATTTATCGGTTTGTTGAATGCTTGTAGTCATGCAGGATTGGTTGATGATGGTCGTCAATATTTTAAGATGATGACTAATGAATATGGAATTGAACCTTCAATTGAACACTACGGTTGTTTGGTGGATATTTTATGTCGAGCTGGACATCTTGAAGAGGCAAAGAACATCATTGAGCATATGCCTAGGGCACCAAACAAGGTAATTTGGATGAGTTTGCTTAGTGGAGCTAGGATCCATGGAAACATCGATATTGGTGAGTATGCAGCTAGTCGTTTGATTGAGGTAGCTCCGGAGACTATTGGATGCTATGTTGTTCTCTCTAATATGTATGCTGCAATTGGTCTTTGGGACAAGGTTTCACAAGTAAGAGGAATTATGAAAAGGAGAGGGATTAGGAAGGACCCGGGATGTAGTTTAATAGAACATGGAGGCAAGCTTCATGAGTTTATTGCTAGTGATAGATCACATCCACAAACAAAAGAGATATATTTCAAGCTGAGAGAGATGGGGGAGAAACTCAAACTTGAGGGACATGTGCCTGACACAAGCCAGGTTCTTCTATGCATTGAAGAAGTGGAAGAGAAGAAAGCAGAACTGGAAACTCATAGTGAAAGGTTAGCTATCGCGTTTGGACTGATTAATATGGGTTCTGGAAGTCCTATTCGCATCATCAAGAACCTCCGAGTTTGTAATGACTGTCATACTGTGACTAAACTTTTGTCTAAAATCTACAGCCGCGAAATTATTGTGAGAGATAATAGCCGTTTCCATCATTTTAAACATGGAACCTGTTCCTGCAAGGATTTTTGGTGATTGTTTTGGCTTAACGGAATGGAGCCGTATTTTGTTTTTCTCAGATTGGAAGCATCAGGCAGTCCCTAGTTATTGATATAGGAAAATTATTGCTACTGCTTGTGTAACTTGTTCAGAATTTTAGCAGCCACAGAATTTACAGGTAAGTGTTGTGTATATATTTGGGTCCATCTTCCTAATTTTGTTTAAATTTAGTTACTCGAACCATTTTCCTTCTAATTGTATTTGCAGAGGGAGAGATGAGAATATGCTAGGGAGTAATGGAGCTGTTGTTGCAACTGTATGAAAGACTGAAAACATTTGATATTACTGGTGTGGCTAAATTATTAAATTTTATGGCACATTCCAACAATATAGATGGGTTCACGCACAAAGGAGTCTGATGTATTAATGATACAATACTTCCAGAATCCAGACAATCAGTTTCCACTACTATAACACGAGTAATGTTGGAGTCGACAACAAGAGCATTTCAACCGAAGGACAGGACTGAGTAATGTTACAACCTAATGGCATGTAATGATTCTCTTCATTTTCCAGGAACAAAGTTAGTGGCGTAGGCCCATGCATTGTTGGCCACTGGATCCGCAAGGTGATCAGAGAGGTTCTCTATGGGTCCCTTTCCAGTGACAATAGCCTGAACGAAGAATCCAAACATGGAAAACATTGCCAAACGTCCATTCTTGATTTCTTTCACCTTCAACTCTGCAAATGCATCAGGATCATCGGCCAATCCCAGAGGGTCAAAGGCACCGCCAGGGTAAATGGGGTCAAGACCTTCACCAAGCGGTCCTCCACCAACTCTGTACCCTTCGACGAATCCCATGAGCACAACCTGGACCGCCCAGATTGCAAGGATGCTCTGAGCATGGATGAGGTTGGGGTTGCCAAGGTAATCAAGACCACCCTCAGAGAAGATTTGGGCTCCGGCCTTGAACCAAACTGCCTCTCCAAACTTGACACCATTCTTTGAAAGTATTTCAGGGAAGACACAACCAAGTGCTCCAAGCATGGCCCATCTGCAGTGAATCACCTCAAGCTCACGGTTCTTGGCAAATGTCTCAGGGTCTGCAGATAAACCAGCAGTATCCCACCCATAATCACCTGGGAATTCACCGGTCAGATATGATGGAGTTTGCTCAGAGAATGGACCCAAGTACTTTGGGCGGTCTGGGCCATACCTGTTTTATCAATTAAAATTATGAGGTCAGATTTCTCAATTCATACTTTATTAAAGATGTGCACCATTTAATGCGAACATATTCTCAAAGTTCCAACATTTATGTAGTTTAAAGTATAGAACACGCTGTTAAAAGTTCCAGTGAAGGTTTTTTTTTTTTGTTTTTTTCCTAGCTAAGAAAAGTCTAGGGTGTATTATCATTAGGTTACGCTTGATATATATATATAAAAAAATCCGTTGTTATATTTTGATGAACCTTTTCTTTCTGAAATCCTTAAAATGGGATATTTAGAATCCCACATCTGATCACAAACTTCTTATTTTCTTTTTCTTTATTCCAAATCTGTAATTCCAAGGATTTGAATTGCATGCAAACAATAGAAGCCTAATTCCGTGTCTTTCATATTACCAAATTTTCTACGTTGTCGAATTAGATAAAATGTAGAAATTTAGAGATCCCTCATCACAAGAGTTAACCAACCATGATTTTCTGATATATTTTCTGATATTTTATCTTCACTAGCTAGCTATGATGCACGGACATGTAAACGCGAAAACCAGATACGGAGAAATGTCATTTTCAAAAATATAGGAAACGGAAACATGGAGGAACGCCTAAATAAAAAAAAATATAGAGGTTTATTTATTTATAAAATTTAAAAATATAGGAATAAATATAAAAATGATTTAGAAAGAGTACATTTTAAAGGACAATCAATTCATAAGTTCCGTACTCAATGAAAGAAAAAAGAAAACAAAATATTCAAATGTCAAAATGGAAAAAGATATGAAATTCTGTTAAATTTGAAGTTTTAATATTGAAATTAAAAGTAGGATTATTTGTCCTTTTCCAAATAAGATTTGCAAATCATCAAAATTTGATTTGGATTTAAAATCTGATTTTTTTAATGCAAGAAACGTTTCCGGAGAGAGAAAACGAGTGTCCGATTTTCAATATTTACAGAAACGGACTTGACACTTTCCGAAACAGGGAAACGTCAGTCTTCACTATTTCTTTGCCAGAACACAGAAGCTAATAATCTGTTGCTTCATCCACAAATCCATAAAATTTGGTTTTTGGATAATGTAATAATAGCCTATATTTAGGATTTAACGCATTAATCAAACCACTTCCAAACTAAAAAAAAAGCGATCTAATGCATGAAGCATCCCACACCACATGTGCGGGCTTTGGGGAGGGTTGATGCACGCACTCTCCCCTACTTCTAACATAACTGTTAAAAATCTTAAATGGAAAATATTAGAATGGATCAGAACCATATTTCCGTTACAACTATAGTCACATCAAGATTAGGCTGCTCCTTCTAATAATTAGTTTATTACTTGAAAAGTATTATTAGTCTAATGATAAACCAAAAATTACTTGCTAGAATACTGAATGCGAATGACAGATACAAGAATAATTACCATATGCTTTGGGGAGCACTCTTGACAGTTCTGCGCATGGTGATGCGACCACCTCCAAAGGAACCGACCTTGCGGACAAGCTCATTTGATTGCTTCAAAGCCGTCTGCCCAGCAAATGCAGATTGTTGGATTGCAGAGGTTGCCATGGCTATTACTTTCTTAAGCACTTCAGACTATGCCTTATGTGTTAGTTTTTGCCTGTGGAGGTGTTAAAGGAAGGAGAGAAGGATTATATTGAAAATTGAGAAGATGTTATGGATTAGGGAATCAGCACGTCAGCTGTATCTTATTGGTTATTGGATTGGATGTGGATTTCCATGTTGATTTTTTGAAGGAGATAAGAGGTTATGGCTATGCCATGTAGGATTCCAAGATCTTTCTTGCTCAGATTCTTTCACAGGACAATATGAACCACATACTGAGGGGGACAGGTTTTGCTATTTGTGGCTTGATTTTGTCATTTAACAAGAAAAATCTGCAATAAATGGGTTAATTAAGGCTAATTGAGGCTGTTAATTTGATTGTCTTTGGCCTGTGGAAGGTTTTAATAAAGTGAAAAGGCTCTATTTGATTCACCGAAAAATAATTTTTTATAAATAATTTATACTTTCTGTGGTAAATGTTCAACATGTACAGAAAGAATTGGCTAAAGAAGAGCTTATTTACGAGATATATAGACATTATTACAACTACAAGTAACACCTAATGAAAGGAGGGCTACAAATCATAGAGAGGCAAATACCAAACAAAAACATTTGATATTCACAAATAACGATTGATAGGATTAAAAAAGTAATTTTGATTATTGAAAGATCATAGAAAGTGGAATGCCAAACAAAGATGTGAACCATATGCTGTTGAAGACCAATTTGAGAATAAAACTGAAACTAATTCTACACCATATCCAAAGGCCCATGAAAGTGCAGAGATAATGAAACTCAAACCCCAATGCAACAAATTCAATCTCCCACAACCAGCTAAATTTGTTGCAAAATCAAGAATCAGCACCTGCATAGCCATTACGGCCCCCAAAGCCAGCAGAAACCAGTAGTGGTGAATAACTGAAATTGCTACTTCTTTACTTACTATGCTCATGACATTTAACTGATTAAATACCTGGCATAGCAAGAAGCTATTAAAGACCAATAATTTCCACATATCTTCATCTATGCTTTGTATAGCTTTACCAAGTAAGTGCATTACCAGCAAGAGAGAAGCCTGTGACATGGCTTGAGCTGCTATGTTGATCCTAACGGCTTTGGTTACCAGTGGCTCAGCCCTTTTAGCAGGTGGATTGGAAATGAGTTCTTTACTTGTCAACTCCATTACCATCATTAAACTGCCTAAAAGGCACATAACAAAGTTCACCCAAATTAATTGAATTGCTGTTAGTGGAGAGTCCCAAAAACATATTGCAGCAACAAGGTTTATCAGTAACCCTGAAATGCAAGCAGTCAGCTGTAGTTGAGTGAATTTCTGAATATTGTTGTATGCACACCTACCAAATTTCAGAAAATCAGGTAATGAACTTTTATCTGAAATAATAATGTGTGAGCTCTCTCGGGCAATTTCTGTGCTAAGGGTTACCTCTGTGATTCCCATGTCAGCTTTTTTTAAAGCTGAAGTATCACTTGTTAACCCTCCAAAGAATGCAACTACATGACCATTTTCTTGCAAACTTTGAACAACATGAAGCATGTCCTCACCTAAACAACTTCCCATAATATTTGCCTGTTCTATTTTCCTTCGTCTCTCAGTGTTATTCAAATCTCGAATTTGTACACCTTCAAGCTCAACATTATTTGAATCAAGGCAAAAGATTCCAAGTTTATGGGCTGCTTCTCTTGCTATTGAGAGCTCATCTTGTGATATCAATTTGATGCTCACTCCAGCATTTCGAAAATCTTCAAGCATTTTGAAACACGAGTATTTCAGACCAATCACTGCCAGCAAGCATGAACCTTGTGCATTAGGTTCTGGATCTGGACTCTCCGTTTGCTTACAAGCAAATCCAATGGCCAAAAGACCTCTGTGCTTCATATTTTCAATCACTTGCTCTAAATTTGTTTTATGATCTTCTATGTCATGAATTTCCCCCCTCCTATCATAGTAATGTGTACACAAGTTCAAGATTGTCAATGCATCTCCATGCAAGTGTAAATGCACAAATTGCTCAATCTCTTCATTTTTCTTCATCGCAGCCCAACGGTAAGTGTTTATGTTGGATGTTACACTCCCGTGATTGAGAACAGAGAACTGTTGGCTTAACCATTCCGTATCAATAACCCACTTGGACCTTGCCCAATCTGCAAGCGAACTGATGATGGGGGTAACAGACATGTCAGGAACAAGAGCAGGCATACCAATACTTTGGTGTAGAGCTTCCAGAACAACTTGAGGAATCTCAGAATCAAGATCATTATTGTACATATCTTCTCTGCCAATAAAGAATTCGTTAACCTCCATTTGGTTACAAATTAAGCCCCCAGTTGCATCGATGCAGATGACAGTAACAAGGCCCATGGCACCACAAGCTGATAAATTCTGAGGATTTACCCCATATGTTTTGACCTTCTCATTCCAGTACGAGAGGGAAACTGTAATTGCAAAAGGCATTCCATGTTGCATTCCTATCACTATTGCCGTAAGAAAGCCTGTCAAGACGCAAACCCTTCCTCTAGGCCTCCAGAACATACTCTCAAGTATCTTCATTAGCACATCAATTGAGACATTTCCCTTCAATTCTGGCAACACATGATCATTTTTGTGCTGTCTCTTGCATAGCAACCCGACAAACACAATAACAGCGATTAGCACAGACACAAGAAGACCAACATTGTCTATAAAATGGTCGAGTCTCTCTATTTTTTCTTGTAAAAGCGTCCTCTTTGTAGGATCGCCATATACTTTACTAGTATCCACCGCTTTCACAAGCATTTGGCCATGCCCTTGTATTACTTTTGATCCAGAGCAGATAAATGGGTTTGTGTCGTGATCAATTCTTGAATTCACTACTTGATCCAAAACCAAATCGTTGCCATTGACAAACAAACCATCAGCAGGAACCTTATCCCCTATTTTCAAATGCAGTAAATCACCTTGAGCAATATCTGATACCCGTATCCGCTGGAGTTCTCCATTTCTTGTGACTTCAACTTCCGATTTGTTCTTCTTCTTCACCTCCTTCTCACGAAGAAAGTTCGAAACCGAACGGGAAGTGACAAGGAATAAAGTGGCAATAATTATGGCAACCCCATCATGCCATCCATGATGAGCTCCTTCTTCAATCATCTCAACAGCAAATGACAATATAGCACAGATGAAAAGAAGGAAAATAGCACAGATGTTTTGGCCGTCCAAGAAGTAATGAAGAAATCCTTTTGCAGGAACTGCATTAGAACCAAGAATTGAATCTTGGATCCCAGTAAGCATATCAGAGTCAAGAACTGAGGCAGAACGTATATCTACTTCCTCATTGTCAGAACGTATATCCATGGCATGCCAAGATTGACTGGAGGAAGTTCTGGGAAGTTGATCAGAGGAAACAGATGGTGATCGCAGCGATAATGAGACATTGTGATCACGAGGGGTTTTCTTCAGAGAGATGAAAAAGCCAACAACTAAACACCTGCGCCAGAACCGGGCATATTTTCCAGGGGCGTTGGTGTTGGTGTTGGTGTTGGTGACGATTAAGCTAGCAGAAAGAGAAACTTCACAGTCAACATCACCATCATAGCATGTAGAGTTTGTCTGAGACATCGTTTTTGGTAGAGAAATAGCTCTTGACAGAAATCCAGAAACTGACTAAAAAGTCGAATCAATATCGACAAGGACTCAAAGAATAAAGGAAAAGAAGAACAATTCTTAAAAACTCTTTGAAGGGTATGTTCTCTAACTGTAATTTGACGAATGAAAGGATAGGGTATGAACTATTTATAGAGAAATAATTACGTCGGTTACTGAAGTTTTACAAAATTAATTAACTCACCCTTATATTTTTTACCATCTTGTTAAATAGCTTTTGTCCAAAATCATTGAACTTTTCTATTAAATGATACTAAAAAGAGCGCGAAATGCTTTAAAATCTTGAAAAATTAATTTTTTATTATTTTCTTTTTATATGATATTTGTTCTCTTGGGCTTTTAATTTTTTCATAGATCATCAACAATCAAATAATTGGTGTATTTAATCTAACGAGAACGAATCAAATCTTGGATACTAAATATCAAATAGTCAAAAATGTAAAAAAGAGTTAATTAATTTTGTAAAACTTCATAATTAAAATAATGATTTTCCATTTGCAGAGGAATTCCACAAAAATTCCTTTCTTCCTTATTTGAAGAAATAGATAACTAATTTAGTTTCTTTTTAGGCTCGTTGACAGAGGAAACCACTCAGAGGCTTCGTACCATACGTAAGTTCATTTGGTGCCTCTGTGGGAACTGGTAATTCCACGATGAGAAAGAAAAGTAAATGGACACATAAACTCTCTGCGCATGAATATCAATACTCTCACTCTTTGGAAAAGTCTATGTTGGCAACCTATTCGTTGCCGTTGGATTGTACGCATTACACGCAAATTCAACTCGCGCGGGTAGTACTATATTTTCATTCCTTCACTATCTATTTTATTAAATTTTTAAAAAAAAAACTATTTTATTAATATAAAAATTACCTTTTTAAAATAAAAATATATTTGATTACTAATAAAAGTTATTTCATGAATACATGTAAAAATATCATGAATAAATTTATAGGAAAAAAAGTTATCTTAAAACCATAAAACTTATTATGCTTGGTTTATTATATTTTTGCTTCGCATTGACTATAAAAAATTTTTTAATGTTACAAAATCTTTTTATAAAAAAATGTAAAATTCAAATTTAGTATACTTTATTTCATCAGGTTTTACTCTAAAAATTATTGAATATGTAAAAAATTTACAGTTCTAAATTTCTCTAATTCTACAAAACATGATATAATTTACAACTTATACATTATAATTCAGAAATTTCTCATAAAATTTTACTTTTATCATAACAAAATTCATGTAAAAAAATTTAACATAGTCAATGTAAAACAATACTGATTTGAGATCACTAAAATAATTTCTTTTCTTTATTATAATTAGTATTATATGGTTGCAATGTAATAAAAGAAAAGTTAAAAGGCAATTTATAGAATAAACTAGCTGAAGTCTTGCGCAATGCGCAAATCAATTTATAATTCATATTATATTTCAAATGTATTTAATAATTAGTTAGGTAGATAATACTTGTTTAAAGAATCGGGCATATTTAAATTATATTTCTTGAGCTCAAGCCAATCTCAAACAACACCATGTATTAGTCGAGCCAAGCCAAAATAATAATATGGTTGACTCGGCTCGGCTTATTTTCACTCCTAGATATAAAACAATAATATTATATTTATTTACTTACTTGAAAAAGAAAACTAAACAAAGTGAAAATGACAAACAAGCATTATTTATTCATCCCTTACTTAACATGTTTGTCACAAAGTCCAAAGATTTATGCATTTAGAAAGCAAAACCCCAAATCCAACTCCAAACGCATAAGATCCATTACTAGGGATGAAAGTGGACGGGTACCCGCAAAATTTTCATTGCCCACACTCAAATCCGCTTAAAAAACGTGATATAATTTTTAACATCTTATAAATTATAATTCAAAAATTTCTCATAAATTTTTACTTTTATCATTATGGGTCCATTATATGGCACAACCCGAGGTAGTGAATTGGGCTTTTTAAAAATTTAACTTTTAAAACCACAAATCAGAATTCTAAATGAGTGAAAATAGTTAGTTATTGGTTAAAACTTCCTCATAAAGCTTATAAAAAGATTAGAGTATTGAATGTAACTCAGATTCAGATTTCTTTAAAATATAATAAAATAAATTAGAACTGGAGAAATCATAACAGAAGTCTAAAATTCTATTAATCCCACAAAGATGAAACTTTACACATTCGGAATTAGAATAACATAAATAACTTTGTATTTCTGAAAACATAAATAGATGTGTAAGTTGAGCAAGTGCATTCAATCAAGATCTCAAAAATTAAAAGAAGATAAACACAAGGATTCATAGTGGTTCGGCGCTAGCCCGCTCACATCCACTCCTCAAGATTCATCTTGAGATTTCCACTATGTTAATTTTTTTAAAGAGTAAGAGACAAACTAACATTACAAAGAAAATATATCAAATACCTAAACTTAACTTTTAACCCACTAGATTTACAAAGGTTCTAGTAGACCTCTACCATTTTGCTTTACAAAGAACAGAAAACTCAAACTCAAGACATTAGAATCTCACTAATGGAGAAAATTACTTACAGTATAGCTTTATCACAAAAGCTAAACTCAAATATTTTTTTCATTAAAGATCTCTAGTCTACAATAGATTATAACAAATCTATAGATAGAGAAAAATTCAATTATGAGCACAAGATGAATAGAAGACATTTAAAACAAAAACTAAACTCAGAACTATTCTTCTAAAAAGTTGTTGTGAATTTTTTTTTTTCTTAAAAAAGATTTATGGAAGAATAGAGAAGAAAAGAAACAAGGAGACTGAAGAGAAGAGTTTTAAATATTTTTGAAAATTTAAAAATTTGATCTATTACTCTTAGAATTCATTTAGATTTTTATACTTAATGAAAAATATTCTCGTTAGAAACAAGATTACGAATAGGTTTTGAAGGAATATATGCTTCTGACACGCAAGGTTAAAAAGAAATGCTTTGGATGGTGTTAGAAAAATTGTCGGCAATCCTTTTGCACAAAAACCCTTTAGACTGGGTAGGTAACTGGTGGTTTTAGAAAACCAATTTCCTTTTTATCAGAATTTGTGAGTTCTGTATGCATAAAATGTTTTTGATTTAATATAACCTCTTAAACTTTTGCCAAAAACCTTTTTGCTTTTAGATTTTTGTAAAACACAATAATCAAAAGTTTTTTTCCTCTAAAATTTTCAATTAAAAGATTTCAAAATAATTTTTTTTTTAAAAAAAAAAAAAGAGAGATAAAAAATAATTTGTGCTTATAACAATATAATCTCTCTATCCCACATTAATCCTAAAACTCATATAAAATAATCAATACAAATTCTTCAATTTGACTTTATAGTCTTCAATGATAATCCTTGAGTTATAGGAATATGAATTCTTCATTTCCTTATCACCAAATATCCTGCCTCAAGCACTTTAGCACATACAAACTATTAAATTTATTTGATTTGTTAATCATCAAAATCTTTAGGATAATTGAACTTAGCTAACAATCATAACAAAATTCATGTAAAAAAATTTAAAATAGTCAATGTAAAACAATAATGGTTTGAGATCTCTAAAATAATTTCTGTTCTTTATTATAATTAGTATTATACGGTTGCAATATAATAAAAGAAAAGTTAAGTAGCTTTTTATTTATAGAATAAATAATAATGAAAGCAAATTGGTTAAATTATAAATTTATTATTTAAAAATTTCATATTTATACACCTACAAAGTTCAATGACATAAATTCATATTGGGAGCCACTTATATATATATTTAAAATTTTCAATAATTTATACACCTACAAAGTTCAAAATTGACATAAATTCAATATTGGAAAAAAAAAAAAAAAAAGGCCCACTTATATATATATATATATATATATTATATATATATAGTGTCCAAATGGGAAATAATTGGGTCTCCTAAAATGTCCAAATGGGAAATATTGGGTTCCTAAAATGTCATTGTGGATTGACAAAAATATCATTGAAGATTTTAATTTTATTGGTTGAAAAATAAATGTAATTTATTTTGATTGGTTATATTAATTTTCTATTTAAATTTAATCAATATTAAAAAATTTAATTTAATTCTAAATTGGAATTACTTTTAATAATTTTTTTATTTATTAGCATAAGTTTTTATGAACCGAATATACATATTTATTTATAAGTTTTTAGTTAAGTTTAATCTAATTTAAAATATGAATTTTGATTGTTTTGTTAATTTCCTGTATGAATCTAAATTCTACTAGAAAATTTAATTTAATTCTAAGTAAGAATTTATCTTTTGTCCTATCCTAATTAGGAAAGTGTCATATCACACCACTATATTATTATTATTATTATTATTATTATTATTATTATTATTATTATCAAGAATTCGTTACTTGGAATGATTGAGCTCTCAATTATGTCTTCTTCCTTCGATAAGTATAATCTCATTACATTAATTATTTTTATTTTTTTATTGTTAGAATAATTTGATTATGTGATTATGTGAAATATATATACGCATATAAGTTTTATTAATTGTTGTAACGCCCTTTCTTGTCTATTATATATATTGATTTATTACAATTTATCATAGAGTTCAATTAATAAAAATTGTTTGTTTTGTCATTCTCCCTCTTAGTTTTAGAGATCTTAATTATTTTGCTTAATCTCGTAATTAAATTTTTATGTATTTTTTTGAGAAGAAATTAAATTTTTATTTATTAATTCTTATTTAGAAATTCATTATATAATTAAACGTTATATTTTAATGCATTTATTTTATATATTAGAGTATATGTTGGATTCGTGATATATGTACTCAAAAGATTTAACTATGATAATAAAAGAAAATTTTGTAATCCATTTAATTAATAAAAACAACACACCTTCATAATTTTGAAATATATTATTTATATTAAACTCTTAAAAAAGAATAAATAAATCATGATTATACCAAAAAAAAAAAAAAAACATGATTATACCAAAAAAAAAAAAAAAACTTAAATAGAAGATTTGAACGAGAGAAAGGTTACTTTTTAAATAATCAATGCAACGAGTGAGTGCAACAAGTATCAACAAGCATCAATAATCAATAATGTGCAACGCACGTTAAAAAAATATTAATATAAATTAAAAAAAAAAATCAATTTCACAAAGTTTAAAGTAGATAAAATTTAAGAATTGAAAAACATGATTAGTTTATTAAATGATTATAAGAAAAAAGAAT